AATGGGAACATGACTTTTACCTCAACTGTTCAAAACGGGGGGGAGTGTGCCGCAGAGGAAGACCGTTATTTGCCGCTCTCTATGGGGCTGCGTGTCTGTCAGTGCTTGGGCAACATCGCTCGTGGATAACAAAGAAATGCGCTCGCTGCCGTTGATGGTTCATATTGCTGCTTGCGGTGTAATTGTGGCTTTCCCAAATCGAGATAAATTACTCCTGCGAAATATCCACTGGCGCTATGAAGGAGCAGAAAGCTTCCCTCAATGAGTGACACCAGAATCAACGAAAATGCTTGTTATTGTAGACGCCGTCGTCTGCAGAATGATATCATGGTATTTATTTATTTTTCCGGCAGGATCATTCGTCCTCTGTTGTTGTCTGCCCTCGGGATGCGATTTTTCTCGTTCTGTCTCGCTGGGTCTGTCTCGCTGGGTATCGCCCAATGGTATCTTTGTGCTTTGTGCCCAGAATACATGTACTGCTGTAGTTTCGAACCTCCGTCCTGCGACGACAGCGCCCAGCCTGATCCGGATTCGCAGCACGAGGAAAAGGCTCAACACCACGACACGTCTATCTTCGCGTGTGCGTGCGTTGTCTACACTCCCTCTGCCTACGTACGAAAAAACTCCAGACGATTACGATTGCTGCACGGCACTTCCTTTGACTCAACTGAACCCTACCGCTATGCATCACACCATCCCATGGCCCGTGTCGCACCCACCGACCAGAGAAGGCACTTCAACGCACGACTGGTAGCCAAGATCAAATGGTCGTTCGATCCGTCCTTTACTCTGGACGTCAATTTTTACATAATAGTCTTGTACTCTACTTTCCTGTGTTTCTCGGTACAATTCGGTGTTTTTTCGTGGAAAAGGCAGCCGGGGGGTCCTACATAAAACATGAGGCTGTGTGTGGCTGTCCGTCGGGCCGACGAAACGACGAAAACAGGACCATAACGGGTCGGATGTCCGACGCACCGCCAATATTTCATGGGTGTGAACGTTTGGAGGCCGTACAACACTCGCTAGAGAGGATCCTGAAGTCCAGAAAGTATGCGACAGTGAATCATGCACACATCGCGGCACCACAGCGGTCGCCGAGTTGTGCCGACGACGTCGAGTCCAGGAGTGACGGTTTCACTTTTTTTCCACAGCTCGCATTTGCGCATATCTAATCACCCGTCTCTCGAGAATTTGAAAGCGTTTTCGTACATAGGCGGTGTGTGTGCTACGCCAGCAAGAAGGGCTCTCATATCATGCGGGAAACGTGGCAACCGTAAGGCCTTGGCTGCAACCTTCAAGCTTGCACCCGACCTACGGCGAAAATGACGGAACAAAATGGGTCAAGTAGCGGCGGAACAGGCGCGCAACAACAGCTGCTGCCTCGGCACCGCTACATGCTGCAAAAAGTCGATGCCGCGTTTGGTATCTATGACGAGCTCTCGACCGAAAGCATGTTCCTGCAGTCGGGGGTGATCGACAAGGTACGCAAACTACATGTGTGCGCCGTAGCATGGTCTATTGCAAACAGCAGCAGCGGACGATCCTTCTCCACCACCCTTTATTGGGGAATTGACTCGGTGAAGAATTGGTCCGCATCGAACAAAAGATCCCTCCAAGTATATCATTTACTCGTACTCGCCGGCACCGCTCTTAACACGGAATAACAAGGGTAGACTGTAAGTCATCCGATTGCCGGTATTTCGCGTATCATGACGGGTCCGTAGTTCGTGAGGGGGCACTCCAGAAAGACATCATCACATTGGCAGCAACGCTCCAACGCCAGGCCCACATGGTCATGCACATGCAGCAGTCCTGTTGCAGACATGCATACTGCCGTGCACCGCATAAGCGGTGCGAAAGTGTGCGTGTAGCACGCGTTCCCCTTCCTGCAATTTACCCGTGGTCTACATACTACTTTAGAGAGCGAGTACATGCAGTATACTCCCGTGAAGCTGCATATGTGTGCAACACGTCGTGGAAGGCTGATTTGCAAAGCTCGCGGAACAACAGAAGGTGACGTTGTATACCACCCCCCCATATATGCACGATTGAATGTTCTGATGCATATATATACGGATTCTCAAACTTCAATCGACAGAGGTATTGCGACACTCCCAACTGACTGGAAGATGGTAAAACATGCAAGTACAGATTTTGAAAGTACCACTCATCGCCTTGGGGTTAGGGTTGCGAGTTATCACACCGAAAAAATAACGCTGTTGGCTTGCTGTTGGCATAAAGCAGCGCCGCCCCAGAACGCATCTTCCTCCGCTGCTTCTATGAATTGTTTCAGGTGGTCATACTTTTCGTCCTTGTTCTACCGAATTCCTCGCGCGATTCTTTTTGTCTGTGTTTCACATATTTTGTCTTCTGTTCGTGACAGCACTTTTGTACGAGGATGTCTCTATTTCAACGGGCACACAGGTTCCCGCAAGCGCCCTTGAACAATGCTATTAACTTGACGAAGCATCGTGACGTCAAACAGAAATATTTGGGCATCATGACGCCACCATTCCGCAGTGTTAGCAACAGCATATATCCTTCTCTCTACAGTCGACGAGTCTATTTTCAACACAGATCAACGTCCAGAGACGAGGGTACCTCTTGCGAGGGTTCCTGTTGCGACTTTCCTGTAACCCACGGAAACACGCCCGCCTGCATCGACCCGCAGGTAAACCGTTTTTTTCAGGCCGACGCGCCGGGCCAAATCTTCTTTGAGCATCGTCTGGGCCCGGCCCCGAACGCCGACCTTTCTCCTGCCACCACCTTAGAGGGTTCGGAAACCCATGGTACTCGCCGTGTCAGCGCCATCCGCGCAAGACGTGGCAGTGTGGGCGCGCGCCGGTTTTCGGGCCTCGGCATGATGCCCCCCTCTGGAGCAGTCGAGGGTTCCAATTTTGGCACCGAACCCGAAGACGCCGGTGCTCCAGATTCTGCCGTAGGCGGTGCGAACGGGGTCGGAGATGGAGGTGAAGCGGGTGGCGGGGTTTCGGTGAAGGAGGCATCCGGGCATCTCTACGCCGGGTTTGGCGAGGGGCTCACGACAAAGTCGCCCGTGGTATACTTCGTGAAGATGAAGCACACGGGCGCGGACGAGTGCGCGGCGCCCATCGACCCGTACAAGGTCGACGACGGCGCCCTCACGTTCGGTGTGGTGTCCCACCCGCTCCGGGCGCTGGAGAGCATGGTGAGGACGGTGTACCGGCCGACGCTGGAGGGGCAGGACAGCAGGCTCTGGGGCAAGGCTACGCCGGACCTGGTGCACGAGTTCATGGTTGGTTTGGACGGTTTCGTCGACAACCTGCAGCAAACGATCACGAACCTGGGTGGCGGGTTGGAGCTGAGAAAGCCGGACGCGCTCCACCAGGGTGAAACGGGCGGGGTTAGCGGGGGCGGGGCGGGGGCCAAGGCGGCGGCGAGGGATCCGGAGGTGGTATCGCACTACGTGGAGCTGCTGGAGGAGTGGTGCTCCAAGATACGCTTGTGCTTGGACGACAGCGACCGCGCCAGCTCCGAGAAGGTAAACTCGGGGCCCGACACGGAACTGGACTATTGGAGACGACGGGCCCAGCGACTCACCAGCATCACGGAGCAGCTCAAGACCAAAGCTTGCAAGCTGGTCATCGGTGTGCTGCAGCAGGTGATCTTTCCGACTGGCATTGTTTCGACAGACCTCGTGTTTGTGTGACCTATCCAGACTTTCTACCACGACAACCGTAGCTGTTGGTCAATGTCGTTCAAAACCATATACTCGCGTTGATAAAGACTACGATGATTCATGTTTATTCCTATAATTTTGTACAGGTGACAAAACAGGCAGAAGACGTCCTGATCGATCGGCAGAAGGTCTTCACCTTGGTAAAGCAGTGGCGAAAGATCGACGTCGACATCACAGAAGCCGCGAACGAGGCGAAGGACAACGTTAAATATCTCGCTACTCTTGAGCGTTTTTTGGAGCCCTTGGCTAGCGGAGACCTCGACCAGATTCTCGAAATCCTGCCGGGGCTGATGAACGCGGTCAAAATGGTGCACACGATTGCCAGGTACTTCAACACGACCGCGCGAATGACAAAACTCTTCATGAAAATCACGAACCAGCTCATCGAGAGTTGCAAAGACGCTATCAACGGCCAGGAAGCCCCCGAGAAAATATGGGACCAGGATCCCGGACCGTTACTAGAACTTCTAGAGCAGACTCTCAGGCTCAACGAGCGCTACCAGGAGCTGTATCAGAGCACGAAGGACCGACTTCTGGCCATGCCGAAGGGAAAGCAGTTCGACTTTAGCGAGGCACAAATCTTCGGGAGGTTCGACTTGTTCTCAAGACGGGCCATCAAGCTGATCGACCTGTTCAGTACAATCCAGCAGTTCAAGAAATTGCAGGAGGTAATGTCCCGAGAAAGCATGTTGTTTTTCTTTCGTGCCGCTCCCTTTCCGACGAGGAGCTCTTTTGTGTCTTCACTGTGCCTGGATGACTTATAACACTCCCAGTTCAGTTCAGTAAGTGACTAGTAGGCCCGACCAGTTGATTAATGCGCTGCAGCGAAGGTTTTATAGATTGGTTTACTGAACGACGTGCATTGTGTAACGTGTTTTTTTTGGTGGGACAGGCCCGCATCGAAGGAATGGAGCCGCTTCTCGACGGGTTCAAAACGGCCGTCATGGTTTTCCGCGTTAAGGGGCACAACCTTCTGGACTACCACAGCAACCGTTTCGACCGAGACTTCGTCGAGTTCAACGTTCGAGTGGGCGAGCTGGAAGAGCAGCTGAGGGTTTTCATCAACAGGTCGTTCGAAAGCCTGACGTCCATCGAACAATCCCTGGCTCTCCTGGAGAAATACCAAACTGTGTTGCACAGGGAAGCTATGCGTCACGACCTTAACTCGAAGGTGATGGTAATTTTCCACAACTACGGGCAGGAGCTCGCGGCCGTCCAAGATGCCTACGAGCGCTACAAGAACTTTCCACCCACCGCCCGAAACATGCCCCCGGTGGCCGGGAACATCCATTGGTCGAGGCATCTCCTGAGGCGCATAGAGGACCCCATGGAACGCTTCCACGCTTACCCTGGGGTGCTGCACACGAAGGATTCTCGGAAGCTGATCAAGACGTACAACAAGGTTGCGCGCACGCTCGTGGCGTTCGAGTACATGTGGTACGAGGCTTGGTGCAGAGCCGTCGAAGCGGCCAGGGGCGGGCTCACGGCGACTCTCATCATCAGGCACCCCAAGACTGGGCGCCTGTACGTCAACTTCGACCCCGAGATCCTGCAGCTTATCAGGGAAGCGAAGTGCCTCGTCCGGATGGGCGTCAGCATCCCCGAGGGCGCGAAGATGGTCCTGCTTCAGGAGGACCGTTTCAAGAACAACTATAACCACCTCAAGCATGCCCTGCGGGAGTACGAACGGGTCGTCAAATCCATCGCCCCGGTGATGAGACACCTGTTGAACCCCCACGTGCAGGCCTTGGAGGCGCGCCTGCGGCCGGGCTGGATGGTGCTAACGTGGACGTCGATGAACATCGAGGGGTACCGAGAGTCGGTGCATGAGGGGCTGAGGAGGCTAGAAGAGCTAATCGCTAAGGTCAACGATATCGTGGAAAATAGAATAGAGAATAACCTCAAGATTATCAGCAGAGCCATGCTGGTTGATCTACCCGTGGACCGGGCCGTGACGCTGGAGGACTTCGTGTCAATGCAGGAACAGTGCGTGAGGACCGTCACCGATAAGCTCGTCGAGAAGAACAGGGAGGTGGAGACGGCTGTGGAGGATCTCATCACCGTCGCGGAGGATAGAGGAGCGTCATCTACGGGCGAACAAGGGTTGTCTGAGCCGGCAGCGGAGCTGAGGAAGCACTACAATGGGCTCATGTACAGAGCCGTGCTGGCCTGCACGAAAACCAGCCTCAACATAATCAAGACGAGGGCACATGCAAATGTAACAACCGTAGCAACAAGCAGAACACTTCTGCATCCCTCCGATCCTCCCGTCCACATGCGCTTGTGGCAACCAGTTATCGACGTTGTGTCTACCCAACCAAACGGCGTTGAGACGTGTAGGGCGGACCCCACTTCCCTAACCGCCCTCCTCGCCCGAGGCGGCCCTAAGCCCAAAAACCTTTGCCCCCACGACACCTCTAGTTTGCTTCGAGGCCAGCCATCCTTCTCCGCTCTTTGCGCGCAAACGACTTTACCTCTGGCAGAGAAACGGCAGCGACACCGGCGAAAAGAGTGTCGCCTTCTTCGAGCTCGACGTCCAGCTCAGCGTCCCCAGCGTAAGCCTCCGTCCCACCCTGGAGGACGTGCAGGCAAGCGTCAACAAGGCCGCGGTGAGCGTATTGGGGTGCTCCAAGCGCATGTATGACTGGGGGGAGGCCGGCGTCGCGGAGTCGGACAGGTTTTCCTTCTTCGAGGCCCTCGGCAGCGACCTGGAGATCGTCAAGACGCTGCTCCTTCTCACAGGAGCGTCCTACGGCGCGGCTCTTCAGGTGAGCGAGATCCTTCGGGGTGGCCCTGCCAGCAGTGACATGACAAGAGTATCACGCCGAACTATCCTTTGTCCCGCCTAGTTTCAGTCACTGTACCTGCTGCATGGTCGGATCTATGGCAATAGCTATTTGGTAATCAGCTTGAAAGATGGTAGTGTTTTGCACAAATCTTGTCGCTGCACCCGGGAGTCGGGATAGAGCATTTCAGATTCTGCTGAGGTACCCAACCGGTTCAGGTTACGTGACTTGTATCCTCTATTTACCGCATGTTGCCTCGAGCTCTTGAGCTTTACAATAGAACGAGCAAGCACAAAGGGTAGAAATTGTTGATCTGAGAAGAAGAACAAGGTCGTACTAGCGTTGGTTGTTTTCACCGAAGAGCGCGCGAGATACAGCTAGGCCACCTACTGCCACTGCTACCTCAGGTGTTTGAGTATTTGCGTGGGTTCCGCAAGTACGACTGGCTATGGAAGGAGGACAAAGACGTGCAGTACAAGAGGTTTGTCGCGTCCCACCCGGCCATTAGTGACTACGAGGCAGAGCTCGCCAAGTTTCTGGACATCGAGAGCGAGATCGAGGCGGTCCCCACCTTCCACAACGTTGGGGCTCTGACCCTGAACACCACAAACCTGAAGCTTCAGCTCGGCAGCGAGTCTCGCCAGTGGAAGATTCAATATTCCAACAAGGTATGGAGTCGTGCCGGACGATCCAAGAAGGGAGATAATAGGCATCAAACCCGAATAGTTATGATCCTGTATCACGCCAGGAAACCTACAGCGCCGAAGAGTTGAGCAAACGAATGAGCTTCTACAGCCAAGCGAAACGGTAGACGACGTCTTTGAAGTGCTCGATTCTCATTCGTTTCCCCGTACTTGGATTAATGGGGTGTGCTTGCCTTATGTGAGAATTGGCCTGTGAGAACCAAAGTCGCCTCGCCAACTTGTTGGATCAGGTACACAAGCAAGCGCGGGACAGCATGGCGGCTCTAATGGACTACATCCGGGTCACGACGACGCGCCTTAACGTGGAGGTGGATAACCTCGACTCGCTCAGATATGTCATGGTCGTCTTGAAGGAGGTGCGCTGAATTTACATTCCTTACTTTTAGTGGGTGGGTAAGTTTTGGAGCCTTGATATCAGTGTTCGTTTCGACGTCAGATGGAATCGCCTGTCATGGCTGGAAAAACTGGAACTGCAAAGGTGTTTGAAAGGGTGTTAAACGCAGCGCATTGTGAACAGGAGTGTGGACCACGAGTTGCAGGGACTCTAGTGCACTTACTGTATTCGTTGTGTTCACGTGTATATGAGGATCCGTTCTCGGCGCCTTTTGTTCTCCACGACGATAAATTGGTTCGTGAGCGAGCTAGGAATAGTAGATTGTGAGGACTCGTGCACAATACAGTGCGTTGCGTAGATGGCGATGGGGGTCGATCCTCGACTCCTCTTCTTCTCGGTTTACGATAAATAGGTTCGCGAGCGAGAGTCAAGCATCGAAATGGAGATCACGCCCATCTTGGACATGTACCAGATGCTGGAGCACTACCTCCCCGGAGGACTGGTGGACAAGGTGAGCAGAAACCCTCACCCCTAAAGTCCTTACTTGTTTTAAGTTATAAGTCTTTGTGGAATGGCAGTATTCGTTTGTGTTGGCAAAGTTAGTGATCAAATGTAGAAGGAAAACGGTGGTGGCGCTGTGTCTTGGTATTTTGGAGGAATAGCAGCACGCCTCAACAAGAACGCGGAGTGCTTCACTTTCCTTGCCAAAGCAGCTCGAGACCTGCATATAGTTTCTCCGTTTTCTCGAACAATGAACACTTCCAATCTAAAATTCTCCTTCAGAAAGAGGTATTGTGTGCGTTCTTTCCGTTCGAGAGGAGGAAAAATAACGTTTTCTAGCTAATGCTAGCGCAACTACAGCCCAAGGACTCTTAGGGAGAGGCTCAGGGAGAGGGACACCCTTCGTGTGGCCGAACGAAAAAGTGATGATCATCGTATGCTAGGTAGGGTGTAAACGAGGAACCGAAGTGCACCTGTATTTTTGTCCTCCGGCGAACTCGATGAAAACACTCCTCGTTCATCTCAGTCTATGTCGATTCGCGTTCAGGCACTTGTCTCGGTCTATGAACACAACACTCCCATTTGGAATGTGGAACAATTCAGACTTCAGGACAGCGAGACCTGCAAGAGAAAATCCCTTTCCATAGGCAAGGTGTGGGACTGCATCAACCAAGATTGTGATTGCGACCTTGAAATACGTTGCACTTGTGCGCATCCGCTGCCTAAAATGAGCTCACAAACGGGCACGGGCACGCAACACGCCGGACCGACGTTCTTGCAGGAGGAGATTGATCAGAAAAGCGTTATTAGGCTCACCTGGAGAAAACTGCTT